ACCATGAAGCGGCAGCTTGGGTGCCTGCTGCTGCTCCTGAGGGTGCTGGACCCCCCACTCTGTGACTTCCTGGGTATGTCTCTCGGGCGGGTGGGCAGGAGCCAGTGGGGCCACAGACCTGGACAGAGTCTCTGGTAGCAGCCACAGGTGACGTTCTGGACATTGGGTCCTGATCCAAAAAAGAGACACATCCCCACGCGACCTAGAACGTAGAGGCAGAATTGCCGTTTGAAGCCAAACGTCACCAAACGCACAAGCGCGGGCACGCTGGCTCGTCCCGCCCACATGCTCACCTCCATCCTGTTTGGCCTTTACCTTTGGCTTAACCTGCTGGGTACTTTACAGAAATAAGGACCTGGATGTTCCTGCCACTTCTTACCTCCACCTGACTGTGGCTCACCTTGAACCAGGGATCAGAAACTGGTTCTCTGGGCCCTAAGGCTGGGGGTGCTGCATCCTGGCTTTAGTGTTTTTTATTCTTCACCTGGGCACGGTGGCTCACGCCTGTAATCCCAGCACTTTGGGAGGCCGAGGCAAGCAGATCACCTGAGGTCAGGAGTTCGAGACCAGCCTGACCAACATGGAGAAACCCCGTCTCTACTAAAATTAGAAAATTAGCCGGGCGTGGTGGCGCATGCCTGTGATTCCCAGCTGTCTGGGAGGCTGAGGCAGGATAATTGCTTGAACCTGGGAGGCAGAGGTTGCTATGAGCCAAAATGGTACCACTGCACTCCAGCCTGGGCAGCAAGAGCAAAACTCTGTCTCAAAAAAAAAGGAAATAAATGTTTATTCTTCATTACTTGGTCAGTGTAAAAACTGCAAGAAATTTAGATGAAGAAGAAAAAGTAAGGCTGGGTGTGGTGGTTCGCACTTGTAATCCCAGTACTTCGGGAGGCGGAGGTGGGAGGATCAGTGAGCCAAGGAGTTCGAGACCAGCCTGGGCAACATTGGGAGAACAGAAAAAATTGAGAAACTACAAAAAAAATTAAAAATTAGCCTGGGCACAGTGTAATCCCAGCACTTGGGGAGGCCGTTCAGCTGGATCACTTGCGACCAGGAGTTCCAGACCAGCCTGGGCAACATAGCAAAACTCTGTCTCTACTAAAAATACAAAAAAAAGTAGCCAGGTATGGTGGCACATGTCAGTAATCCCAGCTACTGGTGAGGTTGAGGCACGAGAATCATAGGTGTTGGTTAGCAGTCAGAGAAACTGCCACTGCACTCTAGCCTGGGAAACACAGTGGGGGTGGGGGGAGGCCAGGTGTGGTAGCTCATGCCTGTAATCCAGCACTTTGGGCGCCAAAGTGGGTGGATCAGGAACACCTGAAGTCAGGAGTTTGAGACCAGCCTGGCCAACATGGTGTGAAACCCCATCTCTACTAAAAATACAAAAATTAGCTGGGCTTGGTGCACGCCTATAGTCCCAGCTACTCAGGAGGCTGAGGCAGGAGAATCCCTTGAGCTGAGGTCGTACCACTGCACTTCAGCCTAGGCAACAGAGCAAGCCTCTGTCTCAAAAAACAGAAAAAAGCATGTTCAAGTTGCTGTTGATAACATTATTCTTTTTGAGTACAGATGGCGATGATAATAAGTTAACTTTTTTATGGACATTTCCTCACTGATGCTTTAGGACCCCCAGGAAGGGAACTGAGATATTCTGGCCTCGCCTTACTGATGAGGAAACTAAGTCATGAAGAGCCTCACTCCCTGGGGCTCAAGGAGAGGCCACCTCTGTGTCATTCAAAGTCTTCTCAAACATCACTTTTCTTGACTGCATGGTGTTCTGTCCACCTGCAAGATGTGGCAGAATTGATTTAACTTCACCTGCTGGAGATTTGGGTCCTTTGCAGGTATTGTTTTTTTTTTGTTTGTTTGTTTTTTTTTTTTGAGACGGAGTTTCACTCATGTTACCCAGGCTGGAGTGCAATGGCACGATCTCGGCTCACCGCAACCTCCACCTCCTGGGTTCAGGCAATTCTCCTGCCTCAGCCTCCTGAGTAGCTGGGATTACAGGCACACACCACCATGCCCAGCTAATGTTTTGTATTTTTAGTAGAGACGGGGTTTTACCATGTTGACCAGGATGGTCTCGATCTCTTGACCTCGTGATCCACCCGCCTCGGCCTCCCAAAGTGCTGGGATTACAGGCTTGAGCCACCGCGCCCGGCCAGTTTTTTTTTTTTTTTTTTGAGATGGAGTCTCGCTCTGTCACCCAGGCTGGAGTGTGCAATGGCTTGATCTTGGCCCACTGCAACCTCTGCCTCCCAGGTTCAAGCGATTCTCCTGCCTCAGCCTCCCAAGTAGCTGGGATTACAGGCAAGCGCCACATGCCTGGCTAATTTTTGTGTTTTTAGTAGAGATGGGGTTTCACACCATGTTGGCCAGGCCCGTCTTGAACTCCTGATGTAGGTGATCCACCCTCCTTGGCCTCCCAAAGTGCTGGGGTTACAGGCGTGAGCCACCCCACCCAGCCCTCAGCTTATTCTTGCTAATAAAAATTTGTATCTAGGAGTGCCAGTTTCCTTAGTTCTCACCGGCAGCAGGCACTGAGGTCTGTTTCCTCCGGTGCGCTGGCACCCTGCCTCCCTTCCATGTCTGTGGAAGATGTGCAAGTATAACAACACACTTCTGGAAAGTGGGACAAAGGAGGGCAAGGTCCGGGTTCAAAGCTGCTCCTGCCTCACCTCCGAGGGTCCCAAGCCGGGCATAAGTCACTTGCCTAGACTTGGGGAGGGTCCTCCAGCCAGGATGGCTTCTTAGACTCTCAGTTCCAGCGCTGGACAAGGCTGAGTGGGCTCCATGTCCTCCTCAGATTCCCAGGACTCTGGTTCTCTCTGCTTCTGCTTCCGGTGGCTGCTGATCTGGTTCAAGAGGGAATTCCCCTTCCTGGATGTCCTTCGGCTGTGGGAGGTGGGCCAGCCAGCTGTGGGAGGGAGGCCTGAAGGGGCGGGCTCTGCCACCTGTGGGAGAGGATGGGAGGTTGGGCAGAGAGGGGCAGACCCTGGTGGGACCTCAGGCCCAGGCTGGGCCATGACCCCTCCCTCTCTCTGTCCCACACCCCCAGGTACTGTGGACAGGGCTCCCTGGCCCCAATCTGCACCTGCTGGTAGCCTGCGCCATCCTAGACATGGAGCGGGACACCCTCATGCTGTCCGGCTTTGGCTCCAATGAGATCCTGAAGGTGAGGCGCCGGCTCCCTCCCGCACCGCCCTCCCCCCCCAGAGCTGGGCTCGTCCAGGGCCGCAGTACCCCCGGGGAGCAGGTGCTCAGCGTGGGATTATTGAAAGCCTGGTTAGCTGAGAGCGCCGCCGGGGTGGGGCCGCATGGGTTTCTCTCCCGCCCCATCCCTTGCCTGCTCCCAGCAAGGTCCTCACAGGGCAGGTGGGTGGGGACCTGCCCTCCCCCAGTACGTGCTCAGAATGCTCCCAGAGGCCTGAGAAGCATGACTCCCCCAGCCCCCAGCGCTCCTCCGAGCCCCCAGAGGGCCAGCCCGGTGTGTCTTCATTGTTCCCCAGCACGAGGCACAGAGTGGGCGCTCGGGCGGAGGTGGCTGAGTGCTGGCTGGCGCCTGACCCACCCCCTCCCGCAGCACATCAACGAGCTAACTATGAAGCTGAGCGTGGAGGACGTGCTGACGCGCGCCGAGGCCCTGCACCGCCAGCTGACCGCCTGCCCCGTGAGTGCCCGCCCGCCCCGCAGCGCCCCCGCCCGAACCCCGCCCCTATCTCACCGTCACCTTCTGCTTTTCGCCGCCCTCGCCCGGTGCCTCTAGGAGCTGCCCCACAACGTGCAGGAGATCCTGGGGCTGGCGTCGCCCGCAGAGCCCCACAGCCCCTCGCCCACCGTGTCTCCCCTGCCACTGTCGCCCACCCGGGCCGCGCCTTCCCCGCCGCCCCCCGCGGACACAGCCCCGCAGCCCGACAGCAGCCTGGAGATCCTGCCGGAGGAAGAGGACGATGGCGCCGACTCCTAACCCCGCCAGGCAGCCTCGCTCTGCACAGGCACTTTAGCCCGCGCGGGAGGCCAGGGACACCTGCGAGGGGGCGGGTGCGCTCCGCCCCCGGCCGCCGCGCCCTCCTGATAAGCTGGCTTCATTAAACTGACACTTCTCTTGTGCAGTTGGCTTCATGTTAGTGGGGGGAAGCTGCCACGTGGGCTCCGACCTTGGTGGGGATTGTGGCTCGGCAGAGCCTAGAGTGAATGATTGGGGTTTGTGGAGGCAGGGCTCCCTGAGTTGCCTGATTTGATTTGTTTGTCTTATGAGATGGAGTACTGCTCTGTCACCCGGGCTAGAGTGCAGTGGCAGATCTCGGGTCACTGCAGCCTCTGCCTCCCGGGTTCAAGCAATTCTCCTGTCTCAGCCTCCCAAGTAGACAAGACTACAGGCGTGCGCCACCACACCCGGCTGATTTTTGTATTTTTGGTAGAGGCGGGGTGTCATCATGTTGGCCTGGCTGGTCTTGAACTCCTGACCTCAGGCGATATGCCTGTCCCGACCTCCCAAAGTGCTGGGATTACAAGCGTGAGCTACGTCGCCCGGCCTGACTGCGGGTTTTGGAGGAGTGGAGTGAAGATGGGGTGCTCGGGGCAGCAGCTGTGACCTGGTAGCTGCGTGGGAACACTTCCCGGGCATAACCAAGGTGGAAGGGCCTGCAGAGCTGCACGCTGAGTCTGCCCTTCCAGCTGCTGCTTATGAGAAAAATCATCTGTTCAGCCACTGTCAGCCGGGCTGTTCCTAGCATTAGGACCCATCTGTGCTTCGGCTTCGTGACAGTCGGAGATGGTCTCCATGACTGCCATTTCCCGGTGGTGCAGGGAGTCCGTCCTGTTCCCTCTGCGTGTCCCCCCTCCTGTGGAGCCCCACTCTCCGGGAAGAAGTGAGGGGCAGATTGTGGAAGGCTCCAGGATAGGCGCGGCACCTGCTACCTGCAGGGCTAGGGGTTCCGATGCAGGCAAACTGGGGAAGTAACTGAGCCACGGGGGAGGCTGGACCACACGGCTTTTTCCGAAAATACTTTAATGCCAGGTCCTCGTGTAGGTAGTGTGCTGGAGAGGTAACTGGCCTTGGACTGGAGGGTGGCTGCCCTCTTCCTCTGCCAGGTCATACGAGGGGCTGCCCGCCACCCCATGCGCATGCCCCTGCCTCTGCCTCTGCCCCTCTGCGCTGGCCGTCTCGAATGCAGGCTCCTCCCGGCTGTTGATTTTGATGGCGGCTCGCAGCGCCGACTTGACCGCCGTCTCCACCCAGCCGTGCGGGTAGGCGGTGTGCTCGCCGGCGAAGTAGATGCGGCCGTAAGGGACAGACCAGTCGTACGGCCCGTAGTCCTTTTCGGTTTGCCAGAGCGCCGGCGGCTGCACCACGAAGCCACCCTGGCTGTGCGGGTCCTCGGCCCAGCGCTTGACGACGCCGGTGCCGTCCCAGAGCTGGCGCACGAACGGCCCGTGCAGCGCCGCCACGTCTTCCAGCGCCACGCGCAGCGCCTCTTCCTGGCTCAGGCCGGCGAAAGCCGCGGCCGCGTCCGACCACGTGTACGAGGCCAGCAGCAGCGCGCCCTCGCGCGGCGGCGGGTAGAAAATCATGCGCGACGGGCGGTCTGTGTTCGAGTGGCCGCCCTCGATGTCCTCCTCGCGCCAGAAGGGCCTGCGGAAGCTCAAGAACACCTTGGTGGCCGGCACGTAGTGCAGTCCCCGCAGCGCCTCCTGCATGTGGCGGGGAAGCGGCGGCGAGAAGGTGATGCGCTGCACCGCCGGCCCGCTCGCGGTCAGCAGCACCACGTCGGCCTTCAGCGCCTTCAGATTCCGCGCCCGGGGAAAGTTCTTGATCTGCACTTGCACATCATGCGGCCCCTGGGTTATCGCCACGACGGGCGCGTTCAACAGCACAGGCTCCAACAGCGAGCTCAGCAACGCGCGTGGCAGCAGGTCCCAGCCACCCACGATGCGGCTGTACCTGCGGGCGGGGCAGGGGCGTGACCCCGGGTTCTGCGGCCCCGCCCCTCCGTCTGGCCCCACCCACTTCGGCTGCTGGCCCTTATGTTCACCGACCCGCTCCCACTTCATCCACCTCTCCGGATCCCGCCCGTTCCTGACATCCTGGAAGCCGCAGTAGTGGATTGTGTGACCTGGAACTCCACCACTTCTCCTCCCCAGGCCGTGCCCTTTATCCGGGAACCCTTTACCCCTCCCCTGTCAATCAGGTCACGCCCTTCACAACAGCTCCGCCCCCCAGGCCCCGAGACTCCTCCCACTCCCCATACTTGCCACGATTGGCCCCCGCCCGCCCCTCCCCTGCCCGTCGGCCCCGCCCCTCACTGGAGCCTGTCGCTGAGGCAGCTGTGGGCCCGGAGGGCCTCCGCAAAGCTGAGATAGAAAAAGCCATCCTCGGACATCACGTCTCCCAGAAGCTGCACGGCCGGCCGGCTCAGGTTCCCCTCCCCGAGGAGGTATTCCTGCAGAGTGGGCGCGGGCCGAGGTCAGGGCCCAGGCAGGCGGCACCCCCAGAGAGGACCCTTCCCCAGCCAGGCCTCCTGATTCCATGACACGTCCTTGGACCCTAGAGATCCGGTTCCCGCTCTGTGACAGATGAGGGAAACTGAGGTCCAGAGAGAAGGCGTGTCCAGCCCCCGGGGTCAGGCAGGAAGGCAGTGGCAGGACTAGGGTCCCAGGTTCCCGCCTCCTGACTCTCTGGGGAAGGCCCACGGTCACTCTCTTTGCCTTGCGTCTCAGCAGAACCAAGAACCCCACTCACCAAGAGCGTGTGCCTTTCAAACTTCTTCATTGCCTTTCTGCAGCCCAGCATCTTCAGGTCTTTGAGGGCCTGTTGTGGGAGAGGCAGACATGATGCCGCGCTGCCGGGGCAGCCAGGGTGGAGGCTGGGTCTGGAGCCCACCCCTGGCTTCTCCTTGTGGTTCTGCCCATGGCCAGCCTTTCACCACTCTGAAGCCTCTGGGCTTTTGTCCACGCCATGCCCTCTGCCTTGCCCTCCTCTGCAGCTCAGATGCTGCCACTCCTCCCATCTTCCCAAACCGTTAACACCGCCTCATCCCCCTCGTTTGCCCAGCTGGTCACAGCTTGTCCCAGTTGGGTGTTATTTTGCCTATTCCTGCGCCAGCCTGTGAGCTCCATGGAGGCAGGGATGTGGGCAGCTGGAGAGGAGGCTGGGAGAGGGTCTCAGACGTGCTGTGTCCTCCCGGGGCACAGTGATTATTGGTTGCTGGCCACGGGCTGAAGCTGGCCCCCTGTGCCACTGGTCAGGGCTGACAGGGCATGGTGGCTGAGAAGTTTACCTACCAGTTCGTCCCCTGCCCACAGCCTTCCTGTGGCTCCCAGCGCCTAGAGCCACAGAGTTCTCACCCCTCAGGCCTGGTGTTCCAGGCCCCTGCCAGCCCCTCAGTCGTCTTTTTTTTTTTTTTTGAGACGGAGTTTCACTCTTGTTACCCAGGCTGGAGTGCAATGGCGAGATCTCGGCTCACTGCAACCTCCGCCTCCTGGGTTCAGGCAATTCTCCTGCCTCAGCCTCCTGAGTAGCTGGGATTACAGGCACGCACCACCATGCCCAGCTAATTTTTGTATTTTTAGTAGATACGGGGTTTCATCATGTTGACCAGGATGGTCTCGATCTCTTGACCTCGTGATCCACCTGCCTCGGCCTCCCAAAGTGCTGGGATTACAGGCGTGAGCCACCGCGCCCGGCGTCTTTTTTGTTTTTGAGAGGTAGTCTCGCTCTGTCGCCCAGGCTGGAGGGCAGTGGCACAATCTCAGCTCACTGCATCCTCCACCGCCCAGGTTCAAGCAATTTTCCTACTTCAGCCTCTCGAGTATCTGGGATTACAGGCGCACCACCACCATACCTGGGTGATTTTTGCGTTTTTAGAAGAGATGGGGTTATGCCATGCCAGCCAGGCTGGTCTCAAACTCCTGACCTCAGGTGATCCACCCACCTCCCAAAGTGCTAGGATTACAGGTGTGAGCCACCGTGTCCGGCCTCTTTTCTTTCTTTTTTTTTTTTGAAGATGGGGGACTCTGTCTCAAAAAAAATAAATAAAATGAATAAATAAAAATAAAAGGTATTAGGGAAGGCTTCCTGGAGGAGGGGACATTGGAGCTGGCTCTTGAGGGCAGAGTAGGAGTTCCTGTGTGGGGAAGGGAAAGGCATTCTGGGCGGGGTGGGATGCACAGGTGTAGTGGGAGTGAGGAACACAGCTGGGGGCATGGGGACCACCATGAGGACAAAAGTTCCTCAGAGGAGAAAAGAATGTGAGGCTGGAGGGGTGCAGGAGGGTAGGCCAGTCAGGGCTCAAAACTGAGCCAGAGGCAAGGCGGAGCCACCAGGGGCTGTGAGCAGTATCACTCTGAGTGTGTGGGAAGACGCTCCTCTACCAGGTTGGGAAGATGGAGCCTGTGCAGCTGGAAGGGAGACTAGGGGAGGGCCCAGGGCAGAGGAGGAGGCCTGAGCTGGGGTGGGCAGAGGGGAGCAGGGCATGAGCGTCCGGGGGCAGGGGTGGGCACTGACAGTGGGGGAGGTGGGCGAGTAGGAGGTCGGGAGGAAGATGGCTCCTGGGGGTCTGCCCGTGACTGTGGGATGGTGGGGCCATCGTGAGATGGGGGCAACAGGAGGCGGAACGGGTTTAGGGGAAGGTGTTGAGCCCAGTGGTGCTAGAGGGCCTGGGGTGGGACACAGTCCAGGGTCTTGGGAGACAGATTTAGGAGATGTCAGTTTCTGGATCCACACTGGAGACCGGGGAGGTTATCCAGGACAGTGTGTGGGTGAAAGGGGAAGAGACCAAAAGCCGATGCAGCTTTGGGGTTAGCAGTACTTATGGGGAAGCTAAAGAAGGGAGCTGGGCCAGGCGCGGTGGCTGCCGCCTGTAATCCCAGCACTTTGGGAGGCTGAGGCGGGCAGATCACCTGAGGTCGGGAGTTCAAGACCAGCCTGACTGACATGGAGAAACCCCGTCTACTAAAAATACAAAATTAGCCAGGCGTGGTGGCGCGTGCCTGTAATTCCAACTACTTGAGAGGCTGAGGCAGGAGAATCACTTGAACCCAGGAGGCGGAGGTTTCGGTGAGCCGAGATCGCGCCATTATACTCTAGCCTGATCGACAGAGTGATACTCCATCTCAAAAAAAAAAAAAAAGTGAGTTGGGAGATGACCCACAGGCACAGAAGCCCGTGGAGTTGGCCACTCTCATTCTCCGATTTCTGTGGGTAGGTCAGTGGTTAGACCTCATGGCACACATGCCCTTGGTCGAATTTCCGTCTCTACCAACAGGCACCCAACCCCATGGAGGGGACCCAAGGAATAAGAAAGAAGAAAAGCCAGGCCAGGGAGCCAGCCAGGGCGAGCTGGGGAGGAGGACACAGAAGTCAGAGCGGGAGGAGGTGCGGCAGGTGCCCACCTGGTTGAGAGCCATCTGGTAGATGTCTTCAGGCGAGTGGCCCTTTTCCTGGGGCCGCAGGGCGTAGCCCAGCTGCTCAGGCAGCTTCTCCACCATGTAGTTGCGCAGCTTCACCTCGTGCACCTCCGTCCACGTGTTCTCGTCGTACTGGGTGAACTTGGTGAGGTTGAGCCCCAGGACCTGGCAGAGCCTATGGAGGATCCTGAGCGAGGGAGCAGGTGGATGAGGGCCAGGCTCCTGCGGGGGTGGCCTGGTCCCTAGTGGGACTTGGGAGGTGGGAGGGGAGAATAGCTGGGGGCCAGCATGAGGCTGGGAGTGGGGCTAGATTTGGGGTGATCAGTGCTGGGGAATGGGAATGAAATGGGGACAAGGTTGGAAGGCTTAGGGCAGCACCAGGATTAGGATTGGGTTAGGAGCGGGAATAGAGGCTGGATTAGAATCGGGAAGGGGGGCAGAGTTTGGGTTGGATGGGGGTTTGAGGTGGGGAGGGGCCTGGGGCTGGAGTGCCTAAAGATGTGGGGGTGGTGGAGCTTCAGGGCTGCAGGGGACCACAGAGGAGCTGGCGTTTGGGATGGGCAGGGCTGGCTTGGGGTCTGGTGAGTGAGGGCCGGGCTCCGGTGGGGGTGGCCAGGTTCCTAGAGGGACTTGGGAGGTGGGAGGGGAGAGCAGCTGGGGTCCAGCATGAGGCTAGGGACCAGGTGGCCTGAGTGTTGCCAGAGGCCGGCTGCTGGGGCTGAAGCGGGACTGTCACGGGGATCAGGTGAAGGATGGGGTCGGAGGCTGGGTTTGGGTTTGGGAGTCAGAGCTGGAGTTCGGGCCTGCTCTGGCATGGGCGTAGAGCTAGGGGGCTGGCTGAGTCAGGGCACATGTGTGGGTGGGTTGCCAGGTCACCTGTGGGAGCTGGGCATGCGCATGGCTCCCAGCTCCCCAATCCAGCCTGTGTTCCGGTCCCGGTAGGTGAAGATTCGGCCCCCAATCCTGTTATCTGCCTCTAGGATGGTGACCTGAGGGAAACCGTAGGGTGAGGAGGGCCCTTCAGTTCCACCCATGACCATTCCCTGCTCCCCTGCCCCGTGCCAGCCCCCTGCCTTCTTCCGTCCTCACAGTGGCACAGACCTAGACCCTAGACTAGGCGAGGGTCCCTTTCTGTATGTGAGGTGGGAGAACAGAACCGAGTGAGCAGTTCCAGAGTACAGCAGGAAGGCCGCCAGCTAGACTTCAGAGGGACTTCCCGGCTCAGAGAGCTGGGAGATAAACCCTATATGTAGAAGTCCCAGGGCTGGACCGTTCTCATTCTTGGATTTCGGTGAGTAGGTCGGTGGTTAGACCTCAGGGCACACATCCCCTTGGTAAAGTTTCCAGCTCCACTGACAGGCACCCCACCCCAGGACAGAGGGGCTTTCTGTGAGACTTCCCTCTGGGATGAGGAAAGTGGGACAGGAAAGTCTAGGGCCTCTCAATGATGACACGTGGCAGTAGGCAGTTTGGGCCTAACCCCTAGACCAGGGGGAAAGGTAGCCTCTCCTTCCCCTCCCCCACCCCACCTCGCCCCTTCAATCAGGATCGGGGCCAGGTCCCTCTGCCCAGGGACCCCAGCCTGCAGCAGGAGGGACTCCAGGTAGACTACAAGCAGCACTTCCCACCTTGTGTCCGGCATCGCTGAGCACCTTGGCGGCCACCAGCCCAGCCACGCCAGCGCCAACCACAATCACCCTCTGGGGCTTGAGGGTCCGATCGAGGCCCAGGGTCACCACCTTGAGCAGCTGCTCGTAGTCAGGATCGTGCATGCATTTCTCGAAGGGGTCCTGGCTGCGTTCGGTCTTCCAGTCCTGGGAGGCTGCCAGGCTGAGGAGGATGAGGACGAGGACGAGGAGGCGCAGGACTAGGGAGGGGGAGGACAGAGTCAGCGGGTGCACGGCGGGTGGGGGGAGAGGGGTTCTGCTCACTTGTCCCAGAGCCCCTCCTCTGCTTACTCACCCAGCGGGGCCATGACTGTCGGTGGGAGATGGCGCCTGGGGTGGAGGAGAAGTGAGGGCCACTGTGACTGCCGCCTCGGTGCCCTGGAGCCTGACTCTGTCTCCCATGGGCTGCCCAGCTGCTGCACCCAGCCCTCCCCCCATCACTGCCCTCCTCTCTGGACTTGTGTCCCCCGACCCCATTCCTTCAGAGTCCCCTGGCCGTCCCTGCCTCCCTCCTCAGCGATCTCCTCCGCCACTGCTCTCTCGGGCTGCTCTCTGTCTCTTTTCCCTCTTTCTTTTCTTTCTTTTTTTGACAGTCTTGCTCTGTCGCCCAGGCTGTAGTGCAGTGGTACAATCTTGGCTCCCTGCAACCTCCACCTCCCGGATTCAAGCTATCCTCCCACCTCAGCCTCCCAAGTAGCTGGAGTTACAGGCACCCACAACCACGTCTGGCTAATCACCACATTGGCCAAGCTGGTCTCAAACTCTTGACCTCAGGTGATCCACCCGCCTCGGCCTCCCAAAGCGCTGGGATTCCAGGCGTGAGCCGCCTTGCCTGGCCTCTTTTCCCTCCTCCTCACCTCCCCGCCTGACTGCTTCTCAGTCCCTATTTCTGTGGGTCCTCTCTCTGTGCCCCGACCACTGGCTGTGTCGCTACCTCCAGCTCTTGGTGACAGCAGCACCGCGCGATCCTCTCCTCCGCCCTCCACTGCCTCTGCTGTGGCCCTTTCTCTCCCCTTCAACTGGCAGAGCCCCGCCCACCCCTCCTTTTGGGAAATTGGCCAAGGGAAATGAAACTGGTTTTCTGGAGTCACAGAGTGAGATACTCAGTCTAGCTGAGGTTGGAGAAAGGGGGTCGAGGAAGTCGCTCAGTCTCTTCTTCCTTTTGCCCCAGATAGTTCTGGGGTGGTTTGGAGGCCAGAAATAGATGCTCAGGTAACTGTGTCGACAGTGGGGAATGCCCCTCGGCCGCCCCTGTCCCTGATCACCGGAGCCGTTGTTTCTACCCTCCCCCATGCTGCCTTGATTCCTGCGGCCTGGGGACAGAGGGGCTACAGTCCCTGGGCCAGGCCAATTTTCCCCTCCAGGTCCCTCTCCATCAGGTGATGCCATGTCCTATGGGGCCTCCCATGGTTCCACTTCCCCCTTCACTTGCCACTCAGAGCCTCAGTCTCCCCCTCTGTCAAAAGGGTGTAGCAGCAGTAGGACTGACAGCCATGGCCCAGGGGTCAGGACGTGGGCTGTGAGCCCGCCCTCCCCTCTGTGGCTCCTGTCTGCAGCTGTCAAATGGGGATGTCACGGTGTTTTAGGACCAGGTAGTACAGGAAGCAGCTCCTTTGGAAATGCCAGGAGCTGTGGCCGCAGGGGCCCTGGGGGAGGGGTTCTGTGAGTGGCCACCCAGCAGGTGGAAGAGCTCAGGCTTCACCCATCCCTGCCTTGAGAACCACCTTAGTGCTCAGGGCTGGGTGTGGGGCAGCACCTTGAAGTGGGCGGGGGTGGAGAAGAAACAGCGGGGACTTTCCGTGGGGGTGGGGGGAGAGGGAGCCGGGGGCTTGGTGAGGGGGAAAAGCAGAGGGAGCAATTCTCCTGATTAAGGGTTGTCAGGGGCATTACCAAGAAGATGGGAAACGCCTGCAGTAAATCAAAGAGGGATGTGGTTTATGGCCAGGGAGGGCTGGGGGTGAATGTGAGTAAGAAGTCTACGGGAAACCATCAGAGAGCTGGACGGGCCCCAGGCCGAAAGAGCTCGGGTCAGCAAAAACAGCGACAAGGGCCGGCGGTGGCTCATGCCTGTTATCCCAGCACTCTGGGAGGCTGAGGTTGGCGGATCACCTTATGTCAGGAGTTCAAGACCAGCCTGGCCATCTGGTCAGGTGAAATGGTGAAACTCTGTTCTACTAAAAATACAAAAATTAGCTGGGTGTGATGGCTGGTGCCTGTAATCCCAGCTACTCAGGAGACTGAGGCAGGAGAATCGCTTAAACCCGGGAGGTGGAGGTTGCAGTGAGCTGAGATCGTACCCCAACCATTCAGTCTGGGCCACAGCAAAAGCGACTCCCAAAAAAAAAAAAAAAAAAAAAAAAAAAGTAATGATGAAAGTGTTCCCGTGGCGATCACCTGCTCGGAGGCCGCCCAGTGCTCAGGGCTTTGCACCCATCGTAACCCTCACAGTGCCTGCATTTGAGGCCAGGTATGGTGGCTCACACCTGTAATCCCAGCACTTTGGGAGGTTGAGGAGGGCGGAAATCACTTGTGGTCATGAGTTCGAGACCAGCCTGTCCAACACGATGAAACCCCCTGTCTCTATCAAAAAAAAAAAAAAAAAAAAAAAAAAAAAAAAGCCAGGCGTGGTGGTGTGGGCCTGCAATCCCAGGTACTGGGGAGGTTAAGGCAGGAGACTCCCTTGCACAATGGAGGCGGCGGTTGCAGTGAGCCAAGATTTTGCCACTGCACTCCAGCCTGGGCGACGGAGCAAGACGACATCTCAAAAAAACCCCAAAAACAAAAAGCAAAAAAAAAAAAAAAAAACCCAACAACAATGCCTGCATTTGATAGATGAGGAAACTGAGGCTTGGAGATGGCGAGAGGGTGGGGCAGAAGAGGACCTCAGGTCACAGAGAGGGGAAGGGGCTTGGCCCAGTCTCAGTGCTTCATTCACAGTGACGTGTTGCGTAAGAACGGGGCAGGATTGGGGTCTTATTCACCTGTGCCTCGGCCTGGGTCCCACAGCGGGGAATGGCCGTGCTGGCGGGTCCTTGGCAGGTCGGGCAGACCCCAGGTGCCCAGCCCCTGCCCAGCAGCTTGTTCAGCTCTGCAGCCTCATAGCAGCGCAAACGACCATGGAAAGGGGGGCAGAGCCAACTGGCTCCCAGGGCATGTCCCAGGAGTTTTTGGGTCCCCAGAGTGGGTGGGGCCCCGCACGATTCCCCTTGTCCTTGGTCACACAGGGTTGCCGCACAAAGCTCCTCTGGCTCTGGGCTCATGTGCGGCTCCCCTTGGTGCACTTCTGCCTTTTTTTTTTTTTTTTTTTGAGACGGAATCTTGCCCTGTCACCCAGGCTGGAGTGCAATGGCACGATCTTGGCTCACTGCAACCTCTGCCTCCCGGGTTCAAGTGATTCTCCTGCCTCAGCCTCCAGAGTAGCTGGGACTACAGGTGCACACCACCACTCCTGGCTAATTTTTGTATCTTTAGTAGAGATTGGGTTTCACCATGTTGGCCAAGCTGGTCTTGAACTTCTGACCTTGTGATCCGCCTGCCTCGGCCTCCCAAAGTGCTGGGATTACAGGCATGAGCCACCACACCTGGCTGCAATTTTTGTATTTTGAGTAGAGACAGGGTTTCACCATGTTGGACAGGCTGGTCTTGAACTCCTGACCTCAGGTGATCCACCCGCCTAGGCCTCCCAAAGTGCTGGGAGCCACCGGGCCCAGCCTCCAGGATCATTTCTGATACTAAGGAGATTGGTGTTCAGGTTAAATTAGGTTTACGGATGAGGGTGGAATTCTGGAAAAGCGGTTTGGATTAGGTGAGTCAGAGACAGGAGGGAGAGGATGGGGAGGAATGGCATGGTCAAGGATCTGTTGACTTCAATTGATTTAGGGATATCCTGGTTTTATGGTGGTTTCTAGCAAACAAGGTTAATCCTCCTAGATAATGGTCTTTGGCGGGGGCAAATCCTACCTTATTTGGTTGGCTTCTAGAACCACAATGACAGTTTCTTCTTTTTTTTTTTTTTTTTGAGACAGAGTCTCGATCTGTCGCCCAGCCTGGAGTGCAGTGGCATGATCTCGGCTCACTGCAACCTCCGCCTCCCGGGTTCATGCAGTTCTCCTGCCTCAGCCTCCGGAGTAGCTGGGATTACAGGCATGCGCCACCATGCCTGGCTAAATTTTGTAATTTTAGTGGAGATGGGGTTTCACCATGTTGGTCAGGATTGGTCTCGACCTCCTGACCTCAAGTGATCCACCAGTCTTGGCCTCCTAAAGTACTGGGATTACAGGTGTGAGCCACCACGGCCAGCCCATAATGACAGTTCTGACGGGGTTTAGGTCATGTCTGTACAGCAGTCATATACCTGGCCCCACTGGGGGCGTTGTGGCACATCAGGGCAGCTGATGCTGATGGGGGCAGCACAGACTTGCTGGGGACAGGGCCCCTGCCTTATGTATATACGGATTCTCTTTTCTGAGTCTGTGAAAAGACCCTAAGTGGTCAGTACTAACACTTTCACCAGCTGAGCACGGTGGCTCACGCCTGTAATCCCAGCACTTTGGGAGGCTGAGGTGGGTGGATCACAAGGTCAGGAGTTTGAGACCAGCCTGGCCAACATGGTGAAACCCCATCTCTACTAAAATTCAAAAATTAGCCGGGCATGGTGGCACATGCCTATAATCCCGGCTACTCAGGAGGCTGAGGCAGGAGAATCGCTTGAACCTGGAAGGCGGAGGTTGCTGTGAGCCGAGATTGCACCATTGCACTCCAGCTTGGGCAATAAAGTGAGACTCCATCTCAAAGCAAAACAAACAAAACTTTCACCAAGGCTTGGGTGGGTGAGCATCCTGCCTAGGGGATGACCTGGGACCTGGGTGGGAGACAGGGGGTCCAGGCGCAGATGGCGAAAGGGACTCAGGAATCAGGACAGAATTACTGAGTGCCCTGATCTTTGGCCCGACCGCAGGGCAGGGTCCCCTTCCCATGGAACCCTCCTTCCCGTTTCCAGAACATCCCAGGGACCCGGGCGGGGGGCACTCACTGCATGGCTGGCTCTGAGGGGCTGTCTCAGCACCCATGGCTTCTCTGGTTAGCCCAGGACAGAAGTCATCATTGGGCGTGTGCGGAGCCGAGGTGAATGATAGCGGCGATGTCCTGAGGCCCTTGTTAGATCAGATGCCAGGGTTCCTGGTGCTGGGGTCGGAGCAGCTGGGAGGCTGTGAAAGGTAGGTTCCCCTTTCTCAGAAGGGTTTTATTATGGAAACTTTCAAACCTCTAAAACCAGAGTGGCCAGTGTGATGAACCCAGGGGTAGTGATGGCTTTGCACAGCCCGTGTTTCACTGACATCCCCTCCCTCCCCTCACTGGATTTATTTTAGAGCAAATTCCAGACACCATATTTTCTTTTCTTTTTTTTTTTTTGAGATGGAGTTTCGCTCTTGTCAACTACGCTGAAGTGCAATGGTATGATCTCGGCTCACTACAACCTCTGCTTCCCAGGTTCAAGTGATTCTCCTGCCTCAGGCTCCGGAGTGGCTGGGATTACAGGAACATACCCCACACCTGGCTAATTTTTTTTTTCCTTTCTTTTTTTTTTTTTTTTTTTT